CTCACACCCTCTCTATTTATAGAAGCAAGAGAGTGGTAGGTGGGAGGTAGGTGAGCGGTAGGTGAGATGTGGCAGGTGAGCGATACCACATTACAAAAGTGCCCTTTTACCTTAGTTCAATAATTGGTGGTCAAAATAACAGACATATTTAGTGCAAACTATCTTACTATTAAATTGAATAAACAATTTTCAGCATAAAACATCAATATTATACCTTAGTTCAATAATTAGGGGTCAAAATAACAGACATATTTAGTGCAAATTATCTTACTATTAAATTGAATAAACAATTTTCAACATAAAACATCAATATTGCATTGAAAATGGCTTTTAATATTCAAAATAATATACTTATAAGTATTTTTGAAAGTTTTGATAAAAAAAAATTCGATGATTATTGATGCATGTCAGAATTGTGCCTTCAAGGAGAGAAGCAGCCTAATATCTTCGCCTTGAATAATGATCCACAAATAATTACATAAATGAAAATAAATAAAAACATAAACATTTAGGTGAAAAATTAGTAAAAGAAATATTATGAACTAGAAGCTTCGAGATGATAGATGATAGTTTAACGACTTAGTATTGTATGATGATCCAACATACAATCAGATAATTTGAAAGTTGTAGGAGACACCAATTTTTTTTACATTGAAAAACTTAAAAGGGAAAACAATCATAGGGCCTAACCCAGACTATGCATTCCACTATAATTATGTAATTTCAAGGAATGCACCATTTTTTCTCACAGCCGGAAGAGTAGGGTTACAACATCACACCAAATATAATGTTTGTCTGTATATGATGTACATAAAGCTCCAGAAGTTCAGAGAATTTTATCATATTTTGTACAATTTTTGTAATCAATTATCACTAGGAGTTATCACATAATTTTCAATATGATGCTCCCTCTAACACTGTCTTCAAAATCATCATTATATTGTACAATTTGCCGATAACGAAGAGCATGGGCTGCCAAAGATGGTTGACGAAGACAGGTAGACAATGATCAACAGTTACATAGGTTGGAAGTTATCGCCGGGTCATTAATAAAAAAACAGCACTAAAAATCGAATCCTCCCACTTCTCTTCCAAGTGAAGAGAGTGGATCTATTTATAAGCTACGAAAGAGTGATATATTTGGTCCTTTGGATATTAAATTCTACAACTACATGATTGGACAACTCATATTGATCCCCTCTGACAAAAGGATTTTTAATGACCTAAAAATAAAAGAGCTTTGGTTTGTTGGATTTTTCGCATTGAGATTTTTTATTTCAATATAAATATGTCAAATTCAAAGTTAATTTAACCATCCAATTAAAGACATAAAACGTCAAAAAGCGTTTTAATGGCTTGATCTGAACTTGATTAGACTTGAATCAAACCAATTTAGTATTATTAAGTTCGTCTTGTCGAGATGATCACTTCAACTATAAACTCGCTAAAATCAGGGCCCCGAATGATCCTTAATTTAAATCTGGAATGTTTTTTTGTTAAAAAATGCCTCGAGATTTATGTAGAATGGAGAAAAATGTTGATAACATATCAATTGTCTCCCTATTTTTGAACGATTTTGTTGGTCTAGTTCAAAAATAAATATTCCATAAATTTATAATTGAGTCATTTAGACTCTTTTTGGGTACTTTATGAAGGTTGGATCCAGTTGTCCTTATCACGGTTGTCAGCGATTGGGCAATTGTGGTTCAAAAGATGATTGTGATGGCCGGACAACGTTACTTTAGTGGTGGCAATGACCATAGGAGGAGTTTGAACTATGACACTCTTATTGGAGTAATCGAAGTTCGCATCAAAGACGAGTGATAAGATTGATGCTTATTACTCCAATATTCTAAAATATTCTATCTAGTCTTAATATAGAAATTCTTGCATATGTGTTTTAAACTAGAATACCCTACAATATTTAATTTGGAAGAATGTAGAGTATGCTTTATAAAAATAAAAAAAAATGAGTTTAGAAATTTTCTAGATTTAGTATCTCATGCCTATAAATAGACATAATCATGACATTAATGTAGGCTGAAAAGGACCCAACAAATTTTAGCAATAAAATTCTACATCTTTTAATAAGTTTCCAGCAGAAACAACATTCAAAATGATTTATTTAATCCTTATGAGACATATCAAACACTAAATGGTAACTCAATGTGCCACTTCAGTTCACAAGACTAAAAGCGGCCTCAGAGGGCTCCTTGATGAATTCTATATCAATATAATTTACGTATTTTATTTTGATTGAAGACAAATAACTCCATTTTAAGAAATAAGATTAAATCATCATTTAATTAAATCTGCAGAAGGTCAGTGGAGGCTCTACATAACCATCAGCTGGATCATCTAAGAGCCACTTCTCCAAGTAGTTCAGAGAAGAACTCCGTCCACCCACCGCCGCCCTCTCTTCAGGCCAAGCAAGGCTCTCCGGCGAACCCACAGATTCAACACCGATATAATTGATCAAGCTGTCATTTTTGATGTTGTCGTTAAAGACTCTGCTGCCATGATCAACTTCTGGTTGTGATGAGGACTGAAGCCACCCATGGAGGAGTCTTGAGATGTTGTCTTCGCTGGCAGCGTAGGAAGAAGAGGAGTTCTTTGGGTTTGATGTGGGTGTTTCGATGCTGATTAGGGGACTGTGAAAGTAGGAAGGATGGTCGTTTGGTGAGTTCAGGTGGCCCAAAGTGATAGTGGCGCCGCCATTGTTGAGTTTCTTTTTGAGGTGGGTGTTCCAATAGTTCTTTATATCGTTGTCTGTTCTCCGCGGAAGGTAGGAGGCAATTGCAGCCCACCTGGATGTTTATGTAAAAAACAGGTTATCATATTTTTAACATAAGTTTGTGTCTAAAATGAAGAATAAAAGTTAGTCTTTGATTTATGTTTATGAGAGATTTACAGCATGACACTCGATCCCTATCTATTTAAGGATCTAACATCTAAATTTCATTTTTTATAGATATATGTCTATCTAATATATGAAATGGTGCATTCAATATTTTAAAAGTTAAAAAAGCAGTATGTAAAATGCAATGTTTCGGTTTTAGAGATGTAAATACATAGAAACACAAGATCACGTCCGGAGTTGCTTTTAATGAGAATTTAATTTTAAATAATGTAAAATGGGAAAAAACAATTAATGTAAGAACAGAGGAAAAATCCTCTTATAATGTTCCATACAAGTTGGTGAAAAATTGGATCCAATTGGAGCCTGAATTATAGTCCTCAAATTGATCCAATTCGATTGAAATATCAAATTTATTTGGAATCATAATCAACTTGTTAAAACTGATTTTTGAATTGCACAACCCTTAAATCCGGAGTCATTTTACAGATTTGATCTAATAATGGATGAATGATGCCAAAATATAATTTTCTTAATTTTTTTTATAATATACATAATCACTTATTTGTCATGTTTATTAAAAATATTATATCATTAGCATTATATAATTTTAATAATATTTCTATCTTTATAATTGGAATCTCCCGACTTAACCTTCTCATTTTTGGATCTTTCACTTCTTCACTTCAATGTCTAAACAAATTCTAAAAATCTTTAATCCTGTATGAAAGTGATTTAACATCTAATTTTGCGTTAGAATGCGTGCAAATCCGTTAGTGTAATACAACTACCCAAATGCAAATTCATGGGCCAAAAAGCAATCCTCATTTAAGGAGGTGTTTGGCTGCAAAAAAAAATTTAGCACTTATAAGATCTAATAAATCTGCAAATAAAAAATCTGCTAAATTTATCCAAGTTTAAGACAAAAAAATTTAGCACTTATAAGATCTAATAAATCTGCTAAATTTATCCAAGTTTAAGACTAAATTTAAGACCATAAGTTCAAAAATTAAAAAGTCCATGAACCTCCATCATTTTACTACTTGGCTTGATTTAACAAATCCTTTGATAAATCTCATTAAAAGGCTCTACAAAACGAGCCCTTAATTTTTCACAGCATATTCTGAATATATTCTCTCTCGGTCAATTTCTTATTTGTTTATACACTGATTATAAATATATGTTGATTATTTGTATTTATTGTAGAGGCTTCAAGTTTTTTGCTCTTTTTTTTTAAAAAAAAAAAATTATAGAAAGAATAGTACTAAACTCTGACATCATATCATTCGTTTATTTGTTGATTATTGTGAGGAATCAAAAGAGAGTTTTTATTGTTAATGAACCTGTTTCCAATCAAAGCTTGAAGCTGGACAATGATTCCTTCTTCCTGTGGGGTGAAGCTCCCGCGTTTGATTCCCGGCCTCAGGTAGTTAGTCCACCTTAATCTGCAGCTCTTACTACATCTCTTCAACCCTACAATAAGTTCCCCATCTACGATCATGAAATACTAATTTTCTCATTCTATACCCCGGCAGTAATCTTTAAGTTACAGAAAGAGTTCCTCACGGAAAGAAATGGATTGATTTGTTTACCTGCATTAATGGGCACAGATCTCCATTTTCCTGGACCATGTTGCTGAATGTAGGAGAAGAGAAGAATATCCTCCTCGGGAGTCCAAGGTCCTTTCTTGATGCCAGTATTATCACAGCGAGGAGACCTTCCCATGGCCACTTCTAGTCCGTTAACTGCATTCTGATGAACAGAGAAATGTATATATATATATACAGAGAGAGAGAGAGAGAGAGAGAGTTGAATGTGACAAGGCTTTACACCTATGAGTTATCTTATGGGCTCATTGGCCTTGAAACCTGTAAGTCTTTTCTTTATGGAAAAGTCAGCGTGGCTTCTCTTTTGTTTTAGAGGGAGGCCACAAGAATCAGTGGTGCTTTACACTAAAGCTATAAATGAGACTACAATACAAGGCCTTGTTTGTGAAAGATTGCTTATTTTTTTATTTCAAGAATGATTTTGTGTAAAGATGTGAGGCTCAATAGCTAGAAATGAATGTTGTTTAGATGTGACATAGTCTTCCCATCCACCATTGTACTCACATATTTACAAAGTATATAATATTTTCTCCCGAGTTTAAGCCTCACAAACTTTATCATTTATGACTCATCATTTTCCAATAAGTTATATAGAAGGGATTCAAGTTTAGAATACTAACAGAAATTGTAAAATTATTTATCAACTAAGTTAGCTTACACTCGGATTCTTTATTTTTTGCTTCTCCTGCAAGAATTAACGTGTCTTGTGCTTTTTAATTCGGCTATCACTTGACATCACATGATGAGAGATATTAGATTTGTTAATATGGAGTTGTTGGGATCAAATTTGTTTGGGAGCTGCATCTCTACCATACCAACAGCATTTGCTACAAAAACAAAAGATAAAAGATTAGGACAAAATTTTGATGAGTTTTTTTATTACCATAAAGTTAAGAATTCAAGAAAATTAATTTTTTTTCCCTATGGTTGCCCTTTGAACCTGTATGTATAGGTGAGACAAAAGTACAACTATATAGTAAATATTATATTCAAGACAAATACATCAATTAATAAATAAAATATAATAAAGTTTTTGTAGCAACTTTAGCTTTTGAGTATTTTAGATGCATTCTTCAGATTTTGAAATATGTATTGCTCAAAATCACTTTTTTTTAATCATAAATTGCAAATAATCATATTGAGCTATTTAGGCAGATCAATCTACTTGGCCTTTGGAGATAAATAGATAGGTGAGTTCTTACACTCTTTTAAACTTGGGCTGATTCTTAATCAATAGACTATTTGACCCTCGTTTGTCCATGTTGTGGACTTCACCTAATTAGTCAAATCAACCTGAATTTGATTTGAATGATTTTAATAGATCATTTAGTTCCTCAGTTATTTTTAAGAGTATATCGACGACATAAGAGACCTTTAAAGGTTATTTCAGTCAATGGTCACATCACTTAAAGTTGATTTACATCTTTTTATATATCAACAATGTAAGTGTTTATAAATATAGAAGAAAGTCCTTTATTCTTAAAGTTTTCCCTTTATCATATTCCTCAGAGTCCAATCTCTGCTTCTCATCTTCATTGATGGCTAAGAAGTAATTATCATTTAGTATCAAGCTCCCACACAAAGCGCTATAATTGTCCTTACAATAGCAAGTCAAAAGAGAGTGAAGGCTGCCACTCGTTTGTAGAACAAGATTATTTGCCTTAGCTATGAACGACCTCACACATATAAAATGATAAAGTAAACAAATAAGAAGATGAAACGATTTTTATATGTAGAACAAAGAATTAAAAAAAAAAAAACTTATAGAATTTATATCAGTTGAAAAATTATCGATTAATAATAGTTTAGAATTATAATGAATCACCATTTTATGAATTTATAGAAGATATTAATACAAATAATTACCATTTCTTCTTTATTATAAGTGTACTTATTACAAATTAATGATGAATTATGATAGAACATTAAAACAATACTCCCCACGAGGTGAAGAATTAGGTTGCATTAATAGGTTATAATTATAATGGAGGATGGTTAGGTTAATCCTCTATATGGAGGTGAAGTAGGCATGACCTAAAGGCTATGAAAAAATCAATGCAATAAGTTCATGGAGATAACTGAGAATGGTTAAGTTAGTCCTTCCCCTGATGGAACAATCGATATTAAAAAAAAAAGAAATTATAGGAACATGGAGATGCCCCTTAGAGATGGTTAAATAAACATTTTCATGGACGTGCAATCAACGAGAGCTGAAGAGGAGAGACAAGATAATGTGCGAAGAGCATATATGTGAATAAGAAAAAATAGGTAGACCTTACCACTTAATATAAGGTCATATGATTTAAAGGTAGAGGATGAAACAATGTAAGAAAGTTATGAAGGATGTTAAGGTTTGCCAAGTTAGTCCCCCACAATAGAGATAAGGCTAAAATACATATTTGAAGGTAATAAATAAAATATAATCATAAAAAAAATCATAAAAGCTATTGAGAATGTATGGGCTGATCTTCTTTATATGGATAAAGGCATGATGCCTTGGAGTTGGTAAATGGGTGACATAAGAAGATTGAGGTGGCCAAAAATAATTTTAGAGTTAGTTAACCCTTGAAATTTAAGGTTTCATGCCGAAACATAACAAGTATTTTAGTATAGCATTTTGCTTTAAGTTGGAGCTAACTGGTTTGTTTTTTTTACCAATTTAATATTGCTAGAAAGAGTACTCATTTTAGTTTAGCTTTCATAATAATTTAAATTTTTTCATGTCAAATTTTTTGGAGGTCCTTCATTTTAGATCAATTTAGCATATAAAAGATGTGTAGTGATCATCTTTAAAAATGGAAGAGTGTTCATTGTTGGTTTCTTGAAGTGAGAAAGAGGAGAAAACTTAAGAGAATTATTGTAGATTGAAGGGAAAATTAGAACCACACAGCTTCTGTGTAGCCTTACAATATTTAAATTTGGAGCTGATAACAAACTTCCAAGAAAAAGACCTAAAAATCAGCCAAGAAAATAACAAGAAACAAAATCAAGAAAAATAGCAACTAACTCCTAAGATTAAGGAACGGACTTGACTCAATTAAGAGAAAAATAGCAACTAACTCCTAAGATTAAGGAACAGACTTGACTCAATTAAGCTTAGACTCAATAAGCAGTTCTAAGCATGTATTCCAACACTCCTTGCTTCAGGAGCTACGAACACCAAATTTCTGCCTTAGTAACTCAAACTTGCTGATTAAAAGTGACTTTGTAAATAAATCTGCTAACTGATCTTCAGATTTGCAGTAAACCAGAGTCACAAATTCTTCTTTCTGCACTTCTCTTAAAAAAATAACTTGATGTTGAAATGCTTACTTTTCCCATGAAACAAAGGATGATGGGAAATGGAAATGGCTGCTTGGTTGCCAACAAAAACTTAGTACTTTCTTTCTGCTCCAGATTGAGATCCAATAAAATTTTCCTTAGCATATTGTCATTCTTCCTCTTGGGAGAATCATCATCCAAGTCGTCGGAGAAAGGGGAGGTTAGCAGCTTCCCGGGGAGAAGTGAATTGCAGTATGATTTATGAGAGCCCATCCTCTCAACTATTCTGCCATTCTTCCATCATGTGAGAACTGTTGAGCTGCTTCAGCTGCCTTTCTCCATTGATCTGACTGCACCCTAAGCCTCCTCAGCTCGGCCTCCATCTTTGATTGCACTACCTGAGCAGCCTCAAGATGCTCCAAAACCTTTGTTATCTTCTTGTTATTCTTTTCAGCCTCCCCATTGACAACACCTAGTCTCATATGTGCTTCTTGTTTTGAATCTTTTGTTCTCTTAGCATCCAATATAGCTGCAGCATAATTCTCCTGGTGCTCTTTGTCTCTCTTGAGCTCCGATTTTAACAGTTCATTCTCATCCATAATGCTTTGTAGCTGTGTCTCCTTATCTAAGAGGTTTGCTTTCAGTTATGTGACTTATGTAGTAGCCTTTATCATCCTCACCTCTGAATCAAATTGGCTCTCCATTGCCTTATCGATTTCATCTTTCAATTCTTCATTCATTCGCGACATGACTGAGAGTTCTGTTTCGATACTCAAAGGCGAGATTTCAACTCTAAAAGTTATGCAGTTGTTTTCTGTATGGTTGACTCCAGTTCTAATTCCCTCAACCCTGCATCAAAGTTTACGAGTCTCTTGTGCCATATCATTGAGAGACTTTCTTTGATTAGAAAGGCTGATTGCTCCTCCTGCATTGGATTGAGTAAAAAACTCCTCCCTGCCATCTTAACTTCAAATATCTTTTGGCCTGTAGCATCCTCTATCACACAGACCTTCTCCTTGAACATCACTTTGAATCCCTTTTCTATTAATTGACCAACACTAACCAAGTTTTGATCAATATCTAGTACATAAAGAACATTGATGATCAACTTGGTTCCTGAACAACTTACAATGGCTATGGCGCTCTTTCCTTTGACTGCAATATATTCAATATTCCCAATTCTGACCTTCTTGGACTCGGTGCTCTTCAATTTCTTGAACAACTCCTTGTCATGTGTCATATGATTAGTGCAACCACTACCAATGAGCCATTTTTCACTTGTTTCATAACTCGTGAAATAAGTTGCAACGAAAAGTCGGTCATCTTCTTCTTGATCTACCAATTATGCTTCATCTCCTTGCTGCTGATTTTTATTCTTGCAAATGACAGCTTCATGTCTCATTTGATTGCACTTGTTGCACTTTGCATCTGGTCTTCTCCAACATTTGAAAGAAGGATGACATTTCTTGCCATAATGTTGCCATAGAGGGTAATCTTTTTTTACTTCTAATCTTTTATTTTTAGCTTCTAATCTTTTATTTTTAGCTTTGTTTCCATTCTCAAGTGCAGAGCTTTGTCCACTTGTAGCTTGAAACTTCTTGTTCTTGGGCCACCTATTTTTTTCATCATCTTGATGCTTGATTGATAGTGCTCCTTCGACAGCTCCTTCTTCCCACATTACACGCCTCTGCTCTTGTGCTTGTAAAGCACTTAAGAGTCCTGTCAAAGCAATCTTTGACAGATCCTTCATGTTTTCTAAGGTGGTGATGGTAGCCTCAAATCTTTCAGGTACAATTACAAATATTTTTTGAACAATCCTTGAATCTTCCAGAGAACAACCCAATAATTTGACACAATTTTCTATGTTGAGTAGTCTGTTAGAGACTCCTTTATGGTTTCTCTCTCCTTCATCTTTTG